AATACATTCATGAATGTTTTTAATGAATGGATTTTATAATAATACAAATAGCAATGTGTAACATTTTACCATATTTAGTGCAACACTTTTATTTGTTCCCCACAAAATATAGTTTTTTCACTAAATGTTTGGTTTTCTAAAATTATTGTGCACTGATTTTTCTAGAATAACTTTTGCTGCCGAATTATCCACTAACCTAGTCTGATAAATTTTTGTCATAGATTATAAATATACATAGGCCTATATTTTTTCATATTTGTTTATTTTATTTTTCTTTATAATGAAGTAGTCTGTATCAAGTAGATTGTGAAAGAATGATTATCAATTCCACACACAGAGCTATATAAATTCTACATTTATTTAAATGAGGGAAAAAACTTCACTGGTATCGGATCAGAATCGGTATCGGCCAATACTGAACCCTAGGTATCGGAATCGGTATCGGAGGCAAAAAAGGCGGATTGGAGCATCTCTACTTTTAACTGTAAGGCCCCAAGGGGCCGTCAACTACCCACCCAACTAACATGTTAACTGTCCATTTCGCCGGTTTACCATCCACCCCAAAGGCAAAAATCCAGCTATACCGGGAAAATCTGGCTCCCGAGTCACTTCCATCCTATAGACGAGCAATGCTGAAGCTTTGAAGTAACATTTCACCAAATCAGCCATATAACTTTATTTGTAAATATATTTTGACTTCAAATGTCTGCTTTTTAAACGAAACAAGACTTTTTGGGTGGTGCTGGTGCTGTTAACACCCAAAAGTGGATCATTGAGTGACTGTGTAGGTGATTCAGGTATACGTGACCACCTGACATCCGTTTGATGGTTGAGCAACAATATAAAATATTAGTTAATCTGAGAGGATTTTCTCTGCTGGTTATGTGAGTGTACTAGTTGGTCAGCGGTTTTCCTTCTCATAATTTTGTGCCACTTACAGTCACCTGGTACTGTCATCCGGCTCAGGTGATTAGCGCACCCTGTCTGCGTGGATGGTTTCTCATTGGTGTTGAATTCTAGCATGTCCTTATCACACCGTGCTTAGAAGAACCCAGGAGATTTGCGGCAGCTTATTGCTGGCTTTAACGGTTATGTAAAATCCAGTGGTGGTGTATCATTTGCTGGGATTAAAAAGAGGCGGGATTTTATGGCTGGCTGCAGCCTTCAAATGCTGGCAGAGAAAAGCCTGACCAGACCTGTGGCGTGGGCATTCACATGTGTTCAGAGATGATGTTCTGCACCACCTTTTTGTCCGCGCCGACTGATGAGATACTTGATGGGGCTTCAGATTTGGGAGGTTGCCTGGCTCCCCTGCAGTGCCTCGTACTCCCGCAGGACGAGCTGTACGGTCCGTTCTCAGACCCCGCGGCTAACCTGCGGCACAGCGAGCGCACCTGTGTGGTGATGGGTAAAATCCTCCTGAACGTGGGTTTAGGGGGTGGAGATATTAGCGGACGCTATAGCCCGTCGTTTTTACTCTCGCCCGCTTACAGTGTCGAGCGCGAGGACGCAGGTAGGTTGTGACCTGAGATGCTTTGTGAAGTTTCACTGAAGACTTTGAAATGGTTGGACGAGGTGCTTTATTGGCCGGTTTAGTCTTAATGCAGTTTCTTGTGTTCAGTGCATTTAAGAAAGTTAGTGTTCATTTCAAAAGTGCTTGATTATGGAAGCCTGTTTCTGCCATGGAATAAAACTATTTAAAAACAATTGCACATTTTTATCTCACAATTTGCATTAATATATAAACTCAGAATTCAGACTTTCATTCTCACAATTCTTACTTTTTTCTCTAAATTCCAAGTTTACATTTCCCAATTCTGCTGTTTTTCTTCTTTAAATCTTTTTTTCTCCAAATTTTGAGTTTACATCTCGTAGTTCTGAGTTGTTGTTGTTTTTTTTTTTTTTACGAATTCAGTTTAAATCTTGCAATTCTGACTTTTTTTCTACAAATTATGAGTTTAAATCTCAGTTTTTTTCCTCCAAATTCTGAGTTTAAATCTTGCAATTGACTTTTTTTTTCTCCAAATTTTGAGTTTACATCTCGTAATTCTGACTTTTTTCTACAGATTCTGAGTTTAAATCTTGCAAGTGACTTTTATTCTACAGATTGAGTTTACATCAATTCTGAGGTTTTGTTTGCGAATTCAGAGTTTACATCTCAGAATTCAGAGATTTTTTTTCTTTGCAATTGCGTGTTATATCTCAATTCGAAATGTTCTCCTCAAAATTGCAAGAATTAGGAGATATAAACTTCAGAGGGGGAAAAAAAAGAGAATTGCTCAGAATTGTGAGAATAAGTCAAAATTTGAAGAAAAAATTTACAACTGTGAGACTTTTTTTTAATACCATGTCAGAAACAAGCTTCCAAATTTTTTATCATATCAATTAATGCATAATTTATGAAATGAATTTGATTGTGACTGTTTCAGGACCATCAGGACCTTCAGGACCAACACTTCTAATGGCAACGGTGGACATAAAGAACCCTGAAATCAACAACCAGCGTCATCAAAATAACACTCAAATGAACAACTTTAACCTCCACAGCAACTTCAACAAAAAAGACAAAGGCAAAAGCAAGAGCAAGAAGAAAATATCCAAATCTGAAATCGGCACCCCAAGCAATTTCCGGTGAGTTCGCTTTTATGTTCAGACCAACTTGGTTTCACGTTTCCCTTTCTAGAATCGCTGGCTTTGACCAGGTACTGCATACACTTTCTTGTACACTGAACACTAAAGCTGCTTTATCAAATCATAGTTCCTGTTAGATTCCTGGACGTTCGCTTGGTGTGATGTGATGCAAAGTATAGTCAGATGGACACTTGTTTTTAATCTCATGTAATGTATCCCAGACGTGGATAATCTGGCCGTGGTATTCCAGGAATCATGTTAAAGTCAGATGAGACTTCCTTAAACCTGAACATGTCTATTGATGTACTTTAATCTCAGTTTTATCTTTATTTGCTTAATGCATTTACAGTTTCTGAGCCATTTGGTTCATATTTCTTTATTAAAATGTCTTTTTGTTTTTCCAGGCACGTAGGGCATGTCGGCTGGGATCCCAACACAGGCTTTGATGTGAGTATTTTTGCCACTGCATGTTTACATTTAATGCATGTCCTCTTAAAGCGCATTTATTTACATGTTTTCGTCATTTTCTGGATCAGAGGTCACATCAGGCTATGATTCACAATTGCAAGTCATCTCTTACACAATGTAATTGGAAGGGCTGTATTTTTGTAATCCAAAGCAATCATTCTCCCAAAAATCAAGGATCATATTTCAGGCGTTGCGCTGGGAGTGTGTATTGGATCTGTGGCTCCAGTTTTTAATTTGAACTCCCTTGAATGAGAGATTACATAAAGGGGATTTATTGGGGGTTACGGTGTGATTGTTCTGGTAGACTGTCTGCAGGAGCAATTTTTCATTATCAGAGGAAAGAATTATTAAGCCCAGTGCTATGCGGCACATTCATCCGTTTCTGTGGTTTAAGTATATTCTGAAATATTGTGGCCAACTAAAGTCTTAAATGTTATGTTTAAAAGATGTCTGAATCTCATTGCATTATATAATAAATGAGCAAACTGAGTGACATTTATTTAGCACAAGAACATTTTTCGCGCAAAACATTTCTCAAAAAGAAATGTATTCGATTTTCAGTGATTTAAAAAATATATTTGTTTATTTCTGGGTATACACTGGAATACACTATTGCTCAAAAGGTTTGGGTCATTTAGAGTTTAAATGTTTTTAAAAGTCTCTTCTGCTCACCAAGGATGCATTTTATTTTATAAAAATACAGTAAATATTGAGTAATATTGAGTAATATTATTACAATTTAAAATATCATCTTTCCATTTGAATATATTATAAAATGTAATTTATTCCTGATGCAAAGTTGATTTTTCATTGCATCATTACTCCAGTCTTCAGTGTCACATGATCCTTCAGAAATCATTCTGATAAGCTGATTTGCTGCTAAAGAAACATTTTTTTTAATTATTATTAATGTTGAAAACCATTGTGCTGCTTCATATTTTTGTGTAAACCTTTTAAAAGAACAGCATTTATTTTAAATCGAACTCTAATGTAACATTATAAATGTCTTCACTGTCACTTTCGATCAATTTAATGCATCCCTTTTGAATAGAAGTATTCATTTATCTGAAAAAAGAATCTTTTAGATAAATGACCCCAAACTTTTGTATGTCCATAGTTAATATAATATAGTGATCTACAAAAGCATGGCAAATTACAAATGAGGAATACTGCGACACAAGCAGCAGAAGTTCATTCTAATTTTTATTTAATTTGTATTCAGATTCTGTCGTCTCATTTGTTGACTTTGGTTTGTCTTTTCTCAGCTGAATAATTTGGACCCAGAGCTAAAGAACCTGTTTGACATGTGTGGCATTTCTGAGGCCCAGCTCAAAGACAAAGAGACGTCTAAAGACATCTACGAATTCATTGAGAAGAGAGGAGGAGTAGAGGCTGTCAAAAATGAACTACGACGACAAGGTGTTTGAAAGCTCAAATTATTAGAACTTATCTAAGCAAACCTTATCTTTTGTTGTACTATAATGAAGTAATGTTTAAATAATTTGTCCTTCAGGACCCCCGAGGTATTGTGGTAGGTTTCTTTCCCCCTTTTGCATGAGTCTGCAGTGATAAAATGAACAAACGATCAGTTTTGTGCCTATCAAATGGGCACTGCAGTGGCCCAATCAGAAGCCTTGCATCCAGTACTAAAAGTCTGCTGTGGGCTGATGTTGTGTGTATCTTTATAGATCATATTTGTAGCACCTCAAGTCCAAACCAGAGTTGGCGTTAAGACCTTAAACACTTCAAAACTAGACCTCCAAATTCTCAGATCCACACTGATCCCTATTTGTTTAAAACCGGCTGAATTAAAAAAAAATAAAAAATAAAATAAGCCACTTTATTGCAGTCTTTATTGCAGAAGTCAATTTACAAGATCAACACTCCAGCTCTGGGCAGATGTTGGATGAACATCTCTAATGTCTGAGATTTTCCCAGTCTAACTTATTCAGAGTCCGTGTTTGTGTTAGCACTGGTTTGCTGGAATAAGTTCAGCTGTGAATGAACACAATGCATCCTACGTGAAGCTGCTACAGCTGCTTTCTCCATCTTGTGACGAATTCAAGAACCCTGGAGTGAAACTTCTCTAAATTGGGTTTGACTTTGAAGTGATTGCTTGCATGAGTGAGTTGTTAGACAAGGATATCGGATGTTTAATCGGATCATTTAATTCATTGTTTGGGCGGGCAATATGGCAAAAATATGTCACTGTAACACAAGTAACTAATACAAGTAAACAAATAAGAGTTTGGAGTCATTTTCTTAGCTTTTTTTTCTTTAAGAAATTCATATTTCTTAAATTCATTAAATTGATCAAAAGTGACAGTAAAGACATTTATAATGTTACACAATATTTCTATTTCAATTCACAGTGTTTCTATTTTAAATAATCAAATAAGTGCTGTTGTTTTTAACTTTCTGCTCTGCAAACAATCTTGATATCTTGAATATATATATATTTACAGAGTTCTGGCATGAAACTCTAAATGGCGCAGTCCGATAGGTCTAGCTCAATCTGACCTGGCGACATCATTGGCTGCTGATTGGTTCTCTCCAGAATCGGTAGCCAATGAGCTTACTGCTCAATATTCAAATACCTGGCTTTTGTTTGCTGTAGCAGTTTGCAGTGCACTTCAGAAACCCTCCACCTTCCCCAGCTCCACCTGTATAGATCTGCTACTGACGCCCCGCAGATTTGTGCAGAGCGAAGCGCGATTGAACGCGATCATTCCTTCCTTTGTACTACTAGTTTTAACGTGAATAAACATGACTGAACATCTCATGCCTCATGTAATTGCTCAATCAGTGTTTCAACCGCGGAAAGACATCAACAATACAGCGTGGAAATAAAATGTCATGTAGCATTTAATTTACCTCAGCAAGTCATCAGTGTCCACAGCTTGTTAGTTCACTAGAGAAATGAAGTCTAGAGAGGAGCATTTTGTGAAATATTACACCATATACTCATTATATTTTACTAAACCTGTTAGTCTTAATTACTTAATGTACAGTATGTTTAAATTAATCTGTTATGAAACATGCTATGACAGCCATTGTGTAATTGAATATATTTTAACAACTAGCTTAGCAATTGTGTTATTTATAAGGTCATTTAAAAACTGTGTTATGTGCAATTTACATGTTTGCATACAATTTTAATTTTTATTTATTTTTTAAAAATTTTAAGTTGAGTGTTGATCATCTATTTAAAAATAAACGGCAATTAAATTTAAGTTTGGGTTAAGTTGTTAGGCCTAATTGTAACCTTATAATATAAAAGGGCTCCCTATAGTTTTAAGCATAAGCTGAGGTAGATTTTTATCACTAAGAAAATTTTAACTATAACTGAATGTATTTAAAGAAAGAGCAACTTGTTCAGTAAACCATTTAAAAAAAAAATATTTTTTTTAATTAGTTTTTCCCCCTGCTGTACCGAAATCATACCAAACCGTGACGTTAAAACCGAGGTATGTACCGAACTGTCATATTTGTGTACCGTTACACCCCTAATGTATTTAAAGAAAGAGCAACTTGTTCAGTAAACCATTTAAAAAAAAATTATTTTTTTAAATTAGTTTTTCCCCCTGCTGTACCGAAATCATACCAAACCGTGATGTTAAAACCGAGGTATGTACCGAACTGTCATATTTGTGTACCGTTACACCCCTAATATATATATGCATTCTGTCATCTTTCTACAGCACCTCCACCTCCACCATCCAGAGGAGGACCGCCACCTCCTCCACCTCCTCACAACTTTGCTCCTCCTCCCCCACCTCCTTCCAGAGGCAGAGGAGCACCGCCTCCACCGCCGCCATCAAGAGTGCCCACCTGCGCTCCTCCTCCACCTCCTCCATCCCGACCAGGCATAGGTGCACCTCCACGTCCTCCCCCCAGCAGAGGGCCCGGGTCGGCTCCCCCGCCACCTCCTCCACCCCAGCCTGCCTCCCTGTCTCCTCCGGCCCCTCCACCTCCCCCTTCAATTGGCGGAGCACCACCGCCGCCGCCGCCTCCTCCGGGACCCCCTCCTCCCGCACCTCCTCCGCTACCGGACGGGGATTTAGGGGAGGCGCCGGGGGGTAAATCTGCACTCCTGAACCAAATTCGAGAAGGGGCACAGCTGAAGAAAGTGGACCAAAACAACAAGCCGCCCGTGTCCGGTGGCGGTGGCGGTGGCCGTGGCGCACTATTAGACCAAATACGACAGGGCATTCAGCTTAAAAACGTAAGTACAGTGCTTTTATTTTTAAACCAATGAGAAATGACGGAAAATGTTTGCAAAATATTTGGGAGGGCAAATATTTTTGTGATGCATAATCATCATATCATATGAATACAAATACCTAAATCAAACAGTTCCTGACACAGTTGTCCAAACATTTTATTTATGTATGAACACTACTGTTTAAAAGTTTGGGGTCCGTAAGTTTTTTTTTTTTATGAATACTTTTATGCATTAAATTGATCAAAAGTGACAGTAAAGACTAAAAATGCTACAAAAGGTTCTAGTTTTGAATAAATGCTGTTTTATCCCAGTTTTCACAAAAATATTAAGCAACACAACTTGTTCACCTCTTCAAACTTTGATAAGAATATTATTTCTTAAGAAATAATAAGAAATCTTTCTTGAGCAGCAAATCCTCATATTAGATTTCTGAAGGATCATGTGACTGAAGACTGGAGTAATGATGCTGATAATTCAGCTGAATTCGCTGAATTTTAAAGTATTTTTTAAAATAAGTTATTTTGTTATTAGAAATAACCTATTTGCATATGCTAGTTTGCATTTTACTGGCATTACAACAAATTTGATGGGCACTTGTTTTTTTGTTGTTGTTGTTTTCCCCCTGTTGGTCATACGGTTCATGTCAAAATTTTATGTTCATGTGTGCCATTGGAAAAAAAAATCCTGAAATGGACGTTTCGTACATTCTCAATGTTTTACTAATAACGCACTGTGATGCTATACTAATTCAAAAAGAGCGGCTCTGGCTCGCCTGATGATCCACAGTGGGTCGGATCATATACTTTCACTGTTTTTAACAGTGTTATAGAGCAATTCAAATATGTTTTCCAGTTTTTATCCTTTGTTCAACCAGGGTTGCTTTGCATTGAGACTTGAAACCTTTGAAATGAGGTTGAAAAATTATTATTCAAATTGTACACTCAAATAAATGTTAATATTTACAGAACCTTTGTGCATTTGGTTGTTTTATTTGTTTGTAACGTATACATTGTAATTTGTAGTAATGGAAAAAGGATATGAATGACTTTATAAACATATTCTGCTTTCTCCCTCTCATTCAAACTGTAAATTTTATTTAATTCTAAACCATGTGGTAAGTCTGACTATAACCTTGCAATCCAGTTTTCCAAGTAGGTGATTCATAACATTTTCTTGAGTGAATAAAGTCAGCGTTTCTGTGGGTCTTAAAGTCTTAATTACCCCTTTCACAAATTAAGGCCTTAAATCAGAGCAGAAATTCTTAATTTCATAAAGTTTTGGTATAAAATGTTGCATGCACTGCAAAAAAAATCTTCCTCAGTATTTTGTCTTGTTTTCAAGTACAAATATCTAAACATTTAAATCAAGATAAAAGTATTTGAGATTTAAATAAAGTCTTGTTTTTCTGAGAAATGTAAAAAAAAAAATTAACTGTGTTTATGCTTAAAACAAGAACAAATATCTGTCAACTGGGTGGAAAAAGAAAAAAAAAACTTTTCTATTTGAAAATTGATATGGTATTACTTTGGTTTAGCTGGGCAGCTGATTGCATCTGACATTTAGTTTTGTTCTTATTTTTTTAGAGCTCTAAAGTTATTTGGCAGACATTGAGCATGCAAATCAACTGAATGATTTCACTGCCATATGAAATGAAATGATATTGTTTCAGAACGGACTGGATCATTGCCATGGGGGTTTTTTTTTTTTTTTTTGAGGAATTTAGCATGTGTAAATATCAGTTTAGGTAAGTGCAATGCATAATGCTGAATTGGAACAAAATGTTTTAAGGAAGTGTTTTAGTTCCATTTCTGTGCTTCCTTCATAACCTGTTTAACAACTTGCATTTTGTCCTTGTGTCCTCGTGTCTTCAGAAATTGCATCCATGCTTTAAACATCTATCGCATGCTTTGATATACATGGGAAAAATGTTAGAAGTTGATAAATGTTCATTCATATAACCCTCTTCTTTGAAAAAAAGTATTTGCCTTTCAGATACACTCTTTGCCTGAACACAAACTTCGCTGCTGTTCCTGCCGCTGCTACTAAAACCATTTCTCTGTTCATGGTGAACAGCTGCGGAGTGGATTTAGTCCCAGGGAACATTTCCAAAATATACAAACATACAGGGTCCGGATTAAGAGACTGATATTCATACAACTAATACTCTCCCGTTCCAGCAAGGTCATTTTAGCCCACGCTAGTCTTCTGACCTTTGCAACTGTTTTGGTAAGTAGTATTACACATACTGTATGACATAAATAATGGTGCGCTCATTATTTCAACCGATTATTGAATTAGTGACATTTAATCATTTTAAATCAAGTCACATATTTACATTTATACAGACATGAAGTAGTGTTAAAAATCATTAACAAGGCAAAGTAGATTTTTCATTTAAAAACATGAAAGTACAATCACAACAACAGCAGAAACTACCACTATTACTAATAGTAATAACAATAAAAAAATGAATACAGTGCAAATATCCAGGTCAATCGTCAAAACGGAAAACCTTGTTGTTTTAAATTAAACAAGGCCCTGTTGTGATCAAGTGGACATTTACAGAATTTGACTGTTGTGCCACTGTCTTGGAACATTTAACGCAAACTCCCCAAACACCTGCATTGACCAGAATTTTTCTGAAGGTTGGTGTGATTCTGAGAAAAGCACACTGTCTGTATTTACAGATGTTTTTGCAGATGATGCTCTGGAGATGGGTTTCCTGTTCAGACTTACAGCCTGGTTACCGAAGATACTTTGGAACCTCCACCTGCGAAGAATTAAAAGGTCAAATCTATTTTATGAATTTTTTTATATTATTTATTCTATTATAAATTAGATTATCATGACCTTATTTATTATATATTAATACTACATTGTGTGATTAAAAATACAATCAAGACAAGCATTCTGTTTTGTTTTTTTTGTTTACCTATATTAACGTTCTGTTTACTCAAACTGTTTTCCATTTTCCACAGCACTAGAAGGCATCTGCCTTATCGAGGCATGCAAAATGGTCTCTATTTATAGCAACATTAAGTGTGAGGAATTTGTGGGGTCAGGATGCCTCGTCTGAGGGTAATGCTGAATTTTCCACTGCCGCTAAAACAAGAAGGCCATTTGATAATGCATTGAAAGGCTCAATGGGAAAAAATCCCTCCAAGATGGAAGACAAAGTAAGAGAAATGTTATCAACTTTGGAAGTTCTCCATCCAAGTTCTCTCAATACTGAAAAGTATCGTTAAAAATATTCAGTTTATTGAAAAATTTATTATTTTCTCTAATATGCATGAGCTTAACAACATGCTAAACCCTTGAAATCAATCATGATTCTCTGGATTGTGTAGGACAGGGGAGTTCAAACCTGTTCCTGGAGGGCCTAATGAGCTAATCAGACTCACTAGAAATTTCTAAGCAAGTCTGTTGAAGCTGGTTGGAGCTAAACTCTTAAGGATGTTGGCCCCTCTGAGAGCAGGATTGGACACCCCTGGCGTAGGTGCTATTTGTATGACACAAAAGGTTGCTGCCTTTGTGGAGTCTCACAAATCTGTCATTTGAGGTTCGTTTCAGGTGGGAAGCTGACTAAGGCGGCGGTGGACCGCAAGAAAGCTCGCTAGGTTTTGGAATTGAGCTTACTGGTCTTTACCAAAGGTCTCCAACCGTGCTCCTGGAGAGCTACCGTCTTGCAGATTTCAGCTTCAACCCCAATCAAACACACCTGAACTAGCTAATCAAGGTCTTCAGGGTTACTTGATAATTACAGGCAGAAGTGTTGGAGCAGGACTGGAACTGAAGTCTGCAAGACGGTAGCTCTCCACAAGCAGGGTTGGAGATCCCTGGTCTTTACGATACTCACCCTTTTGAGTTTTTTGATGCTACTGCCTCTGATGGAGGCCATGAGTTCATCATGAGCACAGCGTTGAGGTGTGGACGGTCTGGAGTTCTCTCGGTCATTGATGGGTCTCAAAGCGTTCTTCAGTTCCTTTAATATGCTGTCAGTCTCTGTTTGCTTTGCAGCCCCTTTTTTGCCCTTTTTGGGTTTAGATTTGGTGGAACTATGCTGCTGTTTTTTGGAAGTCCCCTCTTGCAGTTTGATGACTTCTGCGATCATTCTGGTGGGAGCCATTAACAAGGCAAAGTAGATTTTTCATTTAAAAACATGAAAGTACAATCACAACAACAGCAGAAACTACCACTATTACTAATAGTAATAACAATAAAAAAATGAATACAGTGCAAATATCCAGGTCAATCGTCAAAACGGAAAACCTTGTTGTTTTAAATTAAACAAGGCCCTGTTGTGATCAAGTGGACATTTACAGAATTTGACTGTTGTGCCACTGTCTTGGAACATTTAACGCAAACTCCCCAAACACCTGCATTGACCAGAATTTTTCTGAAGGTTGGTGTGATTCTGAGAAAAGCACACTGTCTGTATTTACAGATGTTTTTGCAGATGATGCTCTGGAGATGGGTTTCCTGTTCAGACTTACAGCCTGGTTACCGAAGATACTTTGGAACCTCCACCTGCGAAGAATTAAAAGGTCAAATCTATTTTATGAATTTTTTTATATTATTTATTCTATTATAAATTAGATTATCATGACCTTATTTATTATATATTAATACTACATTGTGTGATTAAAAATACAATCAAGACAAGCATTCTGTTTTGTTTTTTTTGTTTACCTATATTAACGTTCTGTTTACTCAAACTGTTTTCCATTTTCCACAGCACTAGAAGGCATCTGCCTTATCGAGGCATGCAAAATGGTCTCTATTTATAGCAACATTAAGTGTGAGGAATTTGTGGGGTCAGGATGCCTCGTCTGAGGGTAATGCTGAATTTTCCACTGCCGCTAAAACAAGAAGGCCATTTGATAATGCATTGAAAGGCTCAATGGGAAAAAATCCCTCCAAGATGGAAGACAAAGTAAGAGAAATGTTATCAACTTTGGAAGTTCTCCATCCAAGTTCTCTCAATACTGAAAAGTATCGTTAAAAATATTCAGTTTATTGAAAAATTTATTATTTTCTCTAATATGCATGAGCTTAACAACATGCTAAACCCTTGAAATCAATCATGATTCTCTGGATTGTGTAGGACGGGAGTTCAAACCTGTTCCTGGAGGGCCTAATGAGCTAATCAGACTCACTAGAAATTTCTAAGCAAGTCTGTTGGAGCTAAACTCTTAAGGATGTTGGCCCCTCTGAGAGCAGGATTGGACACCCCTGGCGTAGGTGCTATTTGTATGACACAAAAGGTTGCTGCCTTTGTGGAGTCTCACAAATCTGTCATTTGAGGTTCGTTTCAGGTGGGAAGCTGACTAAGGCGGCGGTGGACCGCAAGAAAGCTCGCTAGGTTTTGGAATTGAGCTTACTGGTCTTTACCAAAGGTCTCCAACCGTGCTCCTGGAGAGCTACCGTCTTGCAGATTTCAGCTCCAACCCCAATCAAACACACCTGAACTAGCTAATCAAGGTCTTCAGGGTTACTTGATAATTACAGGCAGAAGTGTTGGAGCAGGACTGGAACTGAAGTCTGCAAGACGGTAGCTCTCCACAAGCAGGGTTGGAGATCCCTGGTCTTTACGATACTCACCCTTTTGAGTTTTTTGATGCTACTGCCTCTGATGGAGGCCATGAGTTCATCATGAGCACAGCGTTGAGGTGTGGACGGTCTGGAGTTCTCTCGGTCATTGATGGGTCTCAAAGCGTTCTTCAGTTCCTTTAATATGCTGTCAGTCTCTGTTTGCTTTGCAGCCCCTTTTTTGCCCTTTTTGGGTTTAGATTTGGTGGAACTATGCTGCTGTTTTTTGGAAGTCCCCTCTTGCAGTTTGATGACTTCTGCGATCATTCTGGTGGGAGCGGCCTTCTCTGGGACGAAGACCTTGGGTGGCGGAGGAGGAGGAGGAGGAGGTGGTGGTGGGGGAGGTGGAGGAGCAGGGGGAGCGTCCTTCTTTGCCATGTCAATGTGTGGTAACTTTGGAGATGACCATGGTGAACTCCGAGGGGAGCCGTAAGGAGAAGAGGCGGTCGTGCTCTTCTGAAGGGCGACTGTTCTTTGGTTTGTTGGCATTGCTGCACCTCCTTGCTGTTGGCGCAGCTCCTGCATTCTCCTCTGTCTCTGGAGGTCTTGGTTGCGGGTAAGAATGGTCGTCATGCTTATACGAGGGCCTGCAAGGTCGAACTGGTAACCCAACTTTATCAGCGTTGTATTCTCCCTCAGTAACTTTACAATCTCCATTTCCACCTGACTTCCACAAATGTGCCTCTGATTGTGAAATCGCATTTCCGTAAGTGTACTGTTTCGAGGGAGGGCTTGCACCAGTGCCAGGATACCCTTCCCTGTAATAAAGTTGGACTCAATGTTAAGATTTGTGATGTTGCTGTTTTCTCTCAGCATCTTGGCAATGGCAAAAGCCACCTGGTCATCTGCATGTGTGTTTGCAAGGCTAAAGAAACGTACGTGTGTGTTTAAGCGTAAGGCTTCGGCAAATCGGATAAGAGTGTCTTGGGAGATGTTTTCAATGTTGTTGAGGTTGACCTCGGTGGTATCTGGGTCATTGTTGAGGATCTTTTCCAGAACATCGTCCACCACAGTAGGGTTTCCTGACATGCGACTGGGCTCTTGAGCTTGGACTTTTGGTTCACTCATCAGTGGAGTGTATCGTCTTACAGGCTCTGCCTGTCTCTGATTGGACTGGCCATTGGAAGACCAACACTGCTGAGGGTGAGTGGTGCAATCCAGCGTCGGTGCCATTTTAGGACTGTTCTCTTCTTCGTTTTCTTCTTCCTCCTCATCTTCTTCCATCAGTCTGGCATGAAGCATTGTGAGGATTTTAAAAATCCTCTTCTCTCGTAGTCTTTTACTGGGTTTGTCTCGCTTTTGATGTCATCATCAGGATTAAAATTCGCTTTATTATTGCATTTATCAAAGCATACGTCATACCGTTAAATCCTCAGCCTAAAATCTAGTGAATCTACAGAGAGACTAAAAGTTAATATGGTGTAGATATGAATGTATTTTGAAGTCCATTAGCTGTCAGGTCAGTCCTGTGTGTGTGTGTGTGTGTGTGTGTAATGATCAGATCTGGACTTATTGTCAACACTCAGATAAACTGTTGGTTGTCTCATTGGATCTAAATATCCGCGTGAGGCTAGGATCTGTGTTTATGACAGGAACACAGTGTCCATTGCGTCTCTAGAGCCGCCGACTGGCGTTGACAGTGCAGGAATGTTGTTGCTCTGATAACAAGTGTCTCTAGCAACAACAGCTTCCACAGATCCTCATTGTTTTTGGATTAGAGCCAGGATCAATGTTGGTGAAGTTTGAAATTTATGTCAAATTGTTATGGTTTGAAAAGTAATGCAGTCCTTTAGCATGCAATTAAAATATGTCAGTCAAAATGTTTCCAGAGTAAATCATGTATTTAGGTAGCATATAAATGTACACACTGCAGACTATTTAGAGTAAATTTGAGAAAACCTGTCAGGATCATGTCCAGGTCAAGTTTCACTCTAAAATCAAAAAGGTGCATATGCATTAAACTATTTTTTTTTCCCGTTTAAATTTTTTTTCTTATTATTGTTTTAAGGCGAAATGTGACTTGCTGGTGATGTGTTTTGTGAGCATTAACATATGAAAATTATATAATCATAATAATCTTGTTTATAAACACATCTTTATATAACACATCTTTTAACATATTGTTTATAAAACATTTTTACATTATCACAAAATTGCACTGTTACAAATAGTTTCACTCATATAAATATGAAGTTTCACTTCATATAAATAAATTGGAATAAAATACATATACAGTGGCATGCGAAAGTTTGGGAACCCCTTGCAGAATCTGTGAAAATGTGAATAATTTGAACAAAATAAGAAGAGGTTATACAAAATGCATGTTATTTTTTTATTTAGTACTGTCCCGAGTAAGATAGTTTACATAAAACATGTTTACATTTAGTCCACAAGACCAAAAAAAAAAAATAGCTGAAATTATTAAAATGACCCCCTTCAAAAGTTTGGGAACCCTTGGTTCTTAATACTGTGTGTGGTTACTTGGATGACCACAAATGTATTTTTTTTGTTTGATTTGTTTTGTTTTGTGATGGTTGTTCATGAGTCCCTTGTTTGTTCTGAACAGTTAAACTGAGCGCAGATTCTTCAGTTTTCCAGCATCTTTTGCATATTTTAACCCTTTCCAGCAGTGACTGTATGATTTTGAGATCCATCTTTTCACACCGAGGACAATTGAGGGACTCAAACACAACTATTAACATTCACTGATGCTCCAGAAGGAGACACGATGCATTAAGAGCCGGGAGGTAAAATCTTTTTGAATTTGAATATCAAGGTAAATTGTACTTCATTTGTCTTCAGAGAAACATGCAAGTATCTTCTGTTGCTTCCGAAAGGCAGTACTAAATGGGGGGCATCTTCATCCTGTTCAAAAGTTTTCACTTTCTCTCATGCATTTTGTATAATCTCTCTTATTTTGTTAAAATTATTCACATTTTCACAGATTCTGCAATGGGTTCCCAAACTTTTGCATGCCACTGTACACTCTTAAGAAAAATGGTTCTAAACAGTACCAGAAAAGGGTTCTTCGGCTTGTAACAATAGCAGAACCCTTTTTAGTGCTAAATAGAACCTTTTTTATAGGGTTCCATATAGAACCATGCTTTGAAAATGCTATATAGGACCTTATTGGTGTTATAAATAACCTTTTTAATGACAATTTTTCATTAATATTAGTATATTAATATTATTATTTGTATATATTATTTATTAATATTGTTTTTTACCCCTCTATCTGTCTAGTCTTATAATATCTTGAAGTGTCTATAGAGTTTTACATAAAATCAACAACAACAACGTGTCAATTAGGTACTTTTTTTTTTAATGATGTGAAATTGTAGCAAAAATGACAGTGTTCATTGACAGTTAATAGCAGAATACATTAATGAATGACAATGGACACTGAAGAAATAAAATAGAACATAAAATAGTGTATTGAAGACCAAGTTCCAGTGAAACATTTTCACACTCCTCTATGATACCTCTAAGTTAATCATTATCTGTATTTTGGTGGGACTGAATGGCAGTTTCTCTCTGCAGATGATGAGGTTGTAGGATGTGACATCAGCTGAAATGCACAATTGAGTTTAGATATACACTGTCCTTTCATTTGTTTATGTGAAAACAATTGTTTATGAAGGCCAAAAGTATGTGAGCACTTCACAATGTTAAAAGGAAAAAGTTATATTAAGTCATGGGATAATATAAAATATCTAACAAAATGGACCATAAATTCAATACCTTTGTTACTTGGTGAAGAAGAGAGTATCCTTACTTGAATAGAGCTGGTCACACTTGCATGTTCTCTTAAACTAAAAAGAGAAAAGACATAGGAGACCAATTAGCATTTGAAAATTATAATTTATAGACATTTTAAGAAAGAAATGATTTACCTGTTGAGAGTGTGCCGACAGTCTGTGTAGTTGGATGGCTGAGCTCCAGAAAATCAGTAATGAGGCATCTTCGAGTGTAGCCTCGGTTAAGGTTTTATAGTAAAACAACAACAGCAGCATGTTGTGTGAAATAGGTATGTTTTTATTGACATGCAAAATCGTCAGTGCTCCTAACAGCAGTTATTAGCTGAATACATTAATGAATGACGACTGACATTGAACATGAATAAATACATAAAGAAGTAAAACACAAAATAAGAGCAAAAAATAGATGTGATAAAGACCAAGATTCAGTGAAACAATCACAATCCAATCAATATGATGCCTTAAAGTCCATCATTTTGGTGTGATTAAGTAGCGATTTTTCTCTGCAGATGATGAGGTTGTGAGATGTGATACATCTGAAATACACAATTGAGTTTAGAGTTACAGCGTGTCCATGTGTTTGTGTAAAAACAATTGTTTATGAAGGCCAAAAGCAAAAATGGACAGTATGTGAGCCCTTCACAATCTTAAAAGAAAAAAGTGATATAAAGTCATGATGGGATAGTTTTAATATTTTTTGTGACTGGGTATGTTTATACATGAACCCAAGTAATAATTAAAATAATCTAACCATATGAATTATAAATTGATTGTCTCTTTTACTTACTTAGTGGAGAAGAGGAGAGAAGTTTCCACAGCTTAGCAGAGCTGCACACAATTATGTGACCAAAAACTAAAAAAAAAAAAAGATAACATGTTTGTTTGGAAACCAGTGACATTTTTAAAGTTAAATTTGTATTTAAATTTTAAGAATGAAATAATTTACCTGTTAAGAGTGTGTTGACAGTCAAAAATCAGTAATGATGAGCTTTGTCAGTTACAGATTTAAAAAACAAAAAGGGCGAGAATAAAGAACCCTAAACTCTAACACAAAAAACCATTTCAGCATGAAAGGGTTCTTCAGAATGTTATGGTTCTAAATAAGAACCATCTTTTTTTAGAGTGTAGATGCATATGTCTACTGTTCATCCATTCGACCATAAACATCATATTCTTTGTAGAGCAGGAAGTTCTTCAGTGCCGGGGGGAAAGGAACGGTGCTCATGAACTCTGGATCATTCAGTTTTGTCAGTGTCATACGTCTCCTGATAACCAACCTGGCCTGGTGTTTCAGAGGGCGTGGCTTCCCTAATACCAAACAGTCATAAAGAAATTGTTATTCTTTGTGTCTCATGCAGGTTTGGAAAGACATGAATGGCTAACAGGTGTCTTACTAAGGATGTCACAGATATCGGGCCACTCCTCCTGCCTCTCCAGAATAAGTTGCAGTTTAGAACAGATGTGCACATGATTCACGTAATCTAGGAGTGTCAGCACCACCCTCCCTGCCAAGTGTGCCATCCATGCCACGCTAATAAACTCACCAAACTTTAAAACAGAATAGAGTACATAATTAGGCCACATATAAATAGATATTCACAAAGAATGAATTGTGATCACTTCTTGCATTGTTATAGTAATCACAATAAAATGCACTCACACATCTCTTAAAAAAAATAGTAACAGCGCAACATTTGTTGAAATAATGCATTTTATAATAAACCTAACTTCTGCAGATATGAGGTATGTTTTAAATATTCAAGATGCAGCGCTGTACTATCACAGGTATCACCTGGTTAAGCTGGTTTTCAGGGGTTAGTTAATAAGACGCATGTTTTTGCGCATGTAAAAGTGGCAGAACTCCACCCCATTGTTTTCTAGACCCCAAACATGATACTTTAGAGCCACTTTGTTCAGATTGCTCTTGTTTTGACTTTACTATAAAGCCTCTGATTGCATTGTTTGTTGCATTTTCAGGTGGTTAGTTAATAAGACGCACGTTTTTGCGCATGCAAAAGTGCTGCAACTGTTAGTGAGTTCACCACATTGTTTTCTAGACCCCAAACATGTTTTCTAGACCCAAACATGATTCTTACGGTTACGTTATTCGTTGCACTCTTGATTTGGTATGACTGGCTAGGAGCCTCTGTCCACGTGTATGTTGTTACACAGTTGTCGTGGTAACATTCAAAGCAGCTTTCTGCATGGTAACCGTTGTTAAGGAGCAGGCGCAGCATCATTTCATCTTTGATGCAGTACTGCAGTGCCGTAGGAAATAAGGTGTTGCTGACGACGGAGAAGACGCAGTTGACGTCTGCCCCGTAGGCGAGAAGCAGCCGCACCAGCTCGTACTTCCCAGCTCTGACCGCCACCAGGAGGCAGCGTAGTGGGTCCAGGTCGGGCTTCGCACCTGCTTTCAGAAGCATCTCGGCGCACGTGACGTCTCCATTGCAGACGGCGAAGTACAGCGGGGTCTTCCTCATGTCACCGTAGTTTTCGGAAATATGGCAGCCCAGGATTGAATTGACGTCAAATCCTTTCTTGATGAGCAGCTCGAGACAGTCAGCCTGGCCTCCGTCCGCCGCAGAATGAACCGGACTCATCCCAGACAGACGAGTGGCCCTCTTAGTGGTGATGAGAATGAATCTCTTCAGAGCCCTGTCAGGTTAAAGAGAGAATATATTTATTAGTGCTGAGATGTCTGGTAAAGTGTGGCGAGATTGATTTGCTGTGCGCTCTCACAGGTAGTGCCCCTCATAGGCTGCGTGGTGAATCGGCAGTTGACAGCAAAGACTGGCTACATTAGGACTGGCACCATGTTGTAAGAGTAGATCAATGCAGTCCAGGTTCCCACAGCCTGCGGCGTCATATAACACACTGTCTCCATTTGTAGCTTGTGCTGTGACGTCGCCCCCTAGAGGTAAGAACAAGAAAGACATTAATTTTGGTGGAATGAACCTGTAAGTGTACAACCAATGTACATTTGCCTAAATTGGTCTACTATAACTATAAACATAACTATATTAGTGTCCACACCAACAGACAATAACATTTTTTTATTTTAAGCATGTACTGCAGTTATGCTGTCTGCCACTTTAAATGCTCAAGCTCCCCATACAGCAAAAAAAAAAAAAAAGTAAATTAAATGTATACATATATTTTTTGTAATTTAACATTTTTGTATAGTTTTGAAAATGTAGTTTTTAAATATATATATTAAAAGCATTTAAAAGATATTTTGCTCTTTATATTTCTGTCCAAAAAATACATTCCCAAATTTCACACTGGAACAAAAACTTTATTTGTTGCCTATAACAAGTGTGAACATGTACAATTTTAATAAAAAAATAAGTATAAAATATTGGCTACTGTTAGATTGGAGATGTATTCTCTTGCCCCTGAAATACTAATTGAAATATACAGGTGCATCTACAAAAATTAAGAATATATTCTAGATTCATTACATGTAAAGTAAAACATTTAAAAAGTTTTTCTGTTTTGTTTTAATTTTGATGATTAGCGCTTACAGCTCATGAAAGTCAAAAATCCAGTATCTCAAAATATTAGAATATTTCCTAAGATCAAAAAATCATAATAAAAAAGGATTTGCAAAACAGAAAAGCTCAAGTTCTTTAAAGTATGTTCATTTCTGCACTCAATACTTGGTCGGTGCTCCTTTAGCACAAACTCCAGCATCAGTGAGGTGTGAATGGAAGCGATCAGCCTGTGGCACTGCTGAGGCACCATTGAGCCTTCAGCTCGGATCCAGTTTCTCATCTTTCTCTTGAAAATATCCCATAGATTCCATATGGGCTTCAGGTCAGGCATGTTGGCTGCCCAATCAAGCACAGTAATATCACGGTCAGCAAAGCACTCGGAAGTGGTTTTGGCACTGTGGGCAGGTGCTAAGTCCTGCTTGAAAAGGAAATCAGCATCTCCATAAAGCTTGTCAGCAGATGGAAGCATAAAGAGCTCCAAAATCTCCTGATAGACGGCTGCATTGACTTTGGACTTGATAAAACACAATGGACCAACACCAGCAGACGTCACGGCACCCCAAATCATCACTGACTTCAGAAACTTCACACTGGACTTCAAGCAGCTTGGATTCTGTGCCTCTCCAGTCTTCCTCCAGACCTTGATTTCCGAATTAAATGCAAAATTTACTTTTATCTGAAGAGAGGACTTTGGAGCACTGAGCAGCAGTCCAGTTCTTTTTCTCCTTAGCCCAGGTAAGATGCTTCTGCCGTTGTTCCTGTTTCAGAAGTGGCTTGGTAGCCCTTTTCCTGAAGACGTCTGAGCGTGGTGACTCTTGATGCACTGACTCCAGCTTCAGTTCACTCCTTGTGAAGCTCTCCCAAGTGTTTGAATCGGCTTTGCTTGACAGTATTCTCAAGCTTGTGGTCATCCCTGTTGCTTGTGTACAGCACTCTGTGAACAGCCAACCCTTTCAGTAATGACCATCTGTGACTTACCTTCTTTCACGAGTTCACACTTAAAGCTTATGCGTATTTGGTGTGCTGTCCGAGGGGAGGGCTCCGAGCTCTGAATTGTGGCCCGAACCCATATTAGCATTCATTTGTAATATATTTTGACCAGAAAAAGTGATTATAATTTTTTTTTCTGATTGGCTGTCAATGATTTCATTGTTCAATAACTGGGGGAAAAAATTATGAAAATGATTCCAACTCTATTGTTCCTCTGTGTTCTAGTCAATTGTAATCAATGTAATTTATCATTTACATTAGGGACGGATCTAGAGTTATTTAGACTTGCATACACCTGACTTACCATGTTCGATAAGGATTTCCAGTATTTCCGGATGGCCGTACTCTGCGGCGATGCCCAGCGGTGTGACCCCATGACCATCCCGTCCCATGGCCTTCCCCCTGTGTCTCAGCAGCAGCATCAGGATGTCCATGCAACCCACTTTAGCAGCCTCATGGGTGACCGTCCATTTCTTCAAACAAACCTGCTGCACGGAGGCGCCTCCCATTATCAGTGCATGAACCATATCATACGAGTTTGCCCTCACAGCTGCAAAAGGAAACGTAGGAATATGATCCTGAAACCTAGTGTAAGAACTAATGCTAAACCTGAAACAGTGATAAGCTATGCCACATTTTCATATACTTGTACAAAACCATGATGGAAGGGCTTCAGGTCAGGCATGTTGGCTGCCCAATCAAGCACAGTAATATCACGGTCAGCAAAGCACTCGGAAGTGGTTTTGGCACTGTGGGCAGGTGCTAAGTCCTGCTTGAAAAGGAAATCAGCATCTCCATAAAGCTTGTCAGCAGATGGAAGCATAAAGTGCTCCAAAATCTCCTGATAGACGGCTGCATTGACTTTGGACTTGATAAAACACAATGGACCAACACCAGCAGACGTCACGGCACCCCAAATCATCACTGACTTCAGAAACTTCACACTGGACTTCAAGCAGCTTGGATTCTGTGCCTCTCCAGTCTTCCTCCAGACCTTGATTTCCGAATTAAATGCAAAATTTACTTTTATCTGAAGAGAGGACTTTGGAGCACTGAGCAGCAGTCCAGTTCTTTTTCTCCTTAGCCCAGGTAAGATGCTTCTGCCGTTGTTCCTGTTTCAGAAGTGGCTTGGTAGCCCTTTTCCTGAAGACGTCTGAGCGTGGTGACTCTTGATGCACTGACTCCAGCTTCCGTTCACCCCTTTTGAAGCTCTCCCTTGTGTTTGAATCGGCT